TGCTAAGAACCAAGTTCTCACTGCGGAAAAGAGATACAAAACAGAATGGGGAAGGGCAAAGGAAAATGGTGTGAGGATGGCCACTTGGAAGTACTATTATTTTTTATTTTTTTATTTTAAAAAAGATTTTATTTATTTATTTGACACAGAGAGACACAGTGAGAGGGAACAAGCAGGGGGAGTGGGAGAGGGAGAAGCAGGCTTCCCGCCAAGCAGGGAGCCCGATGCAGGGCTCGATCCCAGGACCCTGGGATCATGACCCAAGCCGAAAGCAGACTCTTAACAACCCCTGAGCCACCCAGGCGCCCTGTATTATTTTTTTTTAAAGATTTTATTTAGGGTCGCCTAGGTGACTCAGTCGTTAGGCATCTGTCTTCAGCTCATGTCATGATCCCATGATCCCTGCTTCTCCCTTTCCCACTCCCCCTGCTTGTGTCCCCTGTCTCACTGTCTCTATCAAATAAATAAATAAAAATCTTTAAAAAAAATAAAGATTTTATTTATTTATTTGAGAGAGAGAGAGAAAAAGGAGAAGGGGGGAGGGTGAGAGAGAAGGAGACTCCGCACCGAGCAGGGAGCCCGATGCAGGACTCAATCCCAGGACTCCTGGATCATGACCCAGGCCAAAGGAAGTCGCTTAACCAACTGAGCCACTCAGGCACCCCAGAAATATTATTTTTAAACTTATTTCATATATCTCTTAGCCCTGTTTGCCAAAAGCACTTAAAAACAAAGTACACCAACAACAATGAGCATACCCAGTATTCAGATTAGCTTAATAAAAGGAACCTGGGCGCCTAGTAGAAATGTCAGAAGGGCTAAAACAGGGAAGCATAAGAAGCCTAGAACACCTTAATGTGCTAAAAGTGAAGAAGTACTCAAAGTAATAACAATTATAATAATGGGAGCATGTAAAAAGTAATATAGGAGTTGGTATGAAGGAGCTCTCATTGGCCAATCTGTAACAAAATGAGCATCAAAATAATTAAGGACAGTAATGAATGGTAAACCCCTGAAAACAAGAATCAATGAGTTCATTCTGAGGATAGGTTAGACATAGAGGGAGAAGACAGGGTTCTTCCTCACAGTAGGAAGCCTACTACTAATTGTAGAAAGCCTACTACTAACTGGAGTTGGAAAATCATCACTTTGCAACGATTCCAGTAAAGATTGGTTCAGGTAAGCATCTTCAGTGGCGCTAAATCCAGATTAGAAAGTTTGATGAGGACCAGGATATTCACGGACTTCAAGTATCTTATATATCACTTATTAGTTGCAAGAGAAAAAAATATTACTTATATATAGTGTAGAAAGAATAACAATACTATGTAAATAGTATTTTATCTATACTATTTTATCTAATATCTGGACAATACTTTTGACCATGTGATAAAAAGTAACATTACTAATGAGAGGCGCTGTGCACTTCAGGATTAATATTCTTGAGACTGACACAATATCCTTCAAACAGAATTCTGGCCAAAAACAAAGAAACCGATTATAAGGAAACATCAGACAAACCCAAAATGAGGAAAATTCTATTCTTCAAAAAAGTCAACAAAACAAAGCTAGTCTTTTTCCTCAAAAATATCAATGTCACAAAGGACAGGAAGGACTAAGAACTCTTCCAGATTAAATTACAAAGGAACATGACAAATGAATGCAAAAATGACACTGGACTAAAATGAAAAATATTTTACAGAGGGCATTATGGGGATAATCAACACTGTAAATATGTACAGTAAGATTATGTACAGTATTGCATTAATGTTAAGTTCCCTGAAATTTGGTAACTGCATGATGGCCATTAAGGAGAATATCACTGCTCTTAGGAAATACAAAATCAAGCATTAAGGGCTAGAGGGGCATGATGTATGCAACCTACTCTTGAATAGTTCAGAAAAAAATTGTGCGTAGAAAAGAGAATATGATAAAACAAATGTGGCAAATGTTTACAATTAGTGACCCACAAGTTAAAAATTATTTCAAAACAATTTTTAAGCACTATACATAAATTGCCAAGGACCTACACATTAAGAATCTAAACAATGGAGGGGCGCCTGAGTGGCTCAGTCAGTTAAGCGTCTTGCCTTCGGCTCAGGTCATGATCCCGGCGTCCTGGGATCGAGCCCCGCATCGGGGTCCCTGCTCCACGGGAAGCCTGCTTCTCCCTCTCCCACTCCCCCTGCTTGTGTTCCCTCTCTCACTGTCTCTCTCTCTGTCAAATAAATAAATAAAATCTTAAAAAAAAAAAGAATCTAAACAATGGATATATTCTAAAATTTTTAAAAGATTTATGATCATCCAGATGTAAGACCTGAAAAGGAACGAAGGATATGCCACAGCAAGACCAAGCAGAAGACCAGATAGCTGTTGCCTCACCCTCTCTTCTCCTTGGCTTCCTGCAGATGCCATTACAAAACAATCTTCAGAAGGATTCTTGCCACACCCCACTAATGGATCAACAAGGATTCCCTATCAAATGAAGATGTGGCGTGGCTTTTAATACTAATGTTAGGTGTCCTTTCTGCCTATTTTTTATTTTTATTTTTATAAGTAGGTTCCACGCTCAACATAGGGCTTGAATTCATGACCCTGAGATCAAGAGTTATATGCTCTACCGACGAAGCCAGCCAGGCACCCAGCCCCTTTCTGCCTATTTTAAAGGAATTAAGTACATGTTGCCCATTCTAATTTGCGGTGCAATAAATATGTTTCCATTAAATAAAAGGTTTCCTGAAACATACCCCCCCTTTTTTTAAGATTTTATTTATTTGACACAGAGAGAGGCAGCAAGAGAGGGAATACAAGCAGGGGGAGTGGGAAAGGGATAAGCAGGCTTCTCATGGAGCAGGGAGCCCAATGAGGGGCTCAATCCCAGGACCCTGGGATCATGACCTGAGCCGAAGGCAGAAGCTTAACCAACTGAGCCACCCAGGCACCCCTGAAACATACCTTTTAAATTTGCCATACCTTACACTCCACATAAGGCTGGCTTAAGATCTTTAGAGTTTCTTAACAGTGGGAAAATTGTGGTTTCTCCATCCCAACAATATCTAACACTGCGTATAATGCATAATTTTAATTTTTCAAAAATTTCAAAATTTCAAAAAATAAACTAAACTTACATGTATACCAGGTAAGTTTACTGAAACACAGCTTCTCGTTTTCTTTTGGTGTACCCACTCTGACAGTATCTTAACTACATGCATAATCCGTCTACAGAATATTCCAACATTTGTCCCATATTATTGCATATACCAAGAGTTTATGAGCTAAAAACAATTTTTCCCCGATTGCTGCAGTCTTTTGATCACTGCGACACTAAATGCTATTAATCTGGGGCGCCTGGGTGGCTCAGGTGGTTAAGCGACTGCCTTTGGCTCAGGTCAGAAACCCAGAGTCCTGGGATTGAGTCCCACATTGGGTTCCCCACTAAGCGGGGGGTCTGCTTCTCCCTCTGAGTCTCTCCCCTCCCACGCTCTTTCTCACTCTCTAAAATAAATCTTTTAAAAAAATGCTAATAATCTGAAACAGGCCTAGGCATACACTCCTAGTAAACAATTCTCTACATATTTAATCTGAAAGTTCACATTATTATCTCTATTTCAAGGCTAATGATGTAACTGATGGCTCCAGCTTCAACAGACATGCCAGAAAATTAAAGGAACTTCAGGGGCACCTGGGTGGCTCAGTCAGTTAAGTGTCAGACTCTTGATTTCGGGCTCAGGTCCTGATCTCACAGGTCATGAGACTGAGTCCCATGTGGGCTCCACACTCAGTGGGAGTCTGCTTGGATATTCTCTTCCTCTACCCTTTCTCCTACTCGCGCGCGCTCTCTTTCTCTCTCTCAAATAAATAAATACTTCTAAAATATAAAAGGACTTCAAAATACAACTGATATTTTCTTTTTTTTTTTAAGATTTTATTTATTTATTTGAAGGGGACAGAAAGAGAGAAACAGACAGCAAGAGAGGGAACACAAGCAGGGGGAGCGGGAGAGGGAGAAACAGGCTTCCCACTGCACAGGGAGCCAGATGCGGGGCTCAATCCCATGACCTGAGCTGAAGGCAGATGCTTAACGAATGAGTCACCCAGGTGCCCCTACAATTGCTATTTTCAAATCAAAGAATAAAAATGTGAAAACAGCTCTCTCCTTTTCTACGCCATCATGGTGTGTGCGGTTGAATGTCCTTTGCCATGTCTTCTCACAAGACTTTCAGGATCAAGCAATTCCTGGCCAAGAAACAAAAGCAGATGTGTCCCATTCCCCAGTGGATTCGGATGAAAACTGGTAATAAAATCCAGTACAACTCCAAGAAGAGGCATTGAAGAACCAAGCTGGGTCTAAAGAGATCGCACATGAGATGGTACATACATTTATGCTACATGAAGGTCATGAGCTCGTATCTTATCACTCTGTAAACATCACAATAGATATATTTTATTGGGGAAATGATTCTTCTCTGTCACTATGCTTCTGCACCAGTAGGCTGGTTCAGTAATTAACATGAGAGACCTTTTGTTGGGGGGTTGGGAGGGAATATAAAAATGTGAAAACAACTGGGGCACCTAGCTGGCTCAGTCAATGGAGCACGTGACTCTTGATCTTTTTGGGTTGTGAGTTCGAGCTCCAGGCTGGGCATAGTAAGTAAGTAAATAAATAAATAAATAAATACAACTAATGATTGCAAATCATTTTGTTCTCTCATCCTAGAAGGAATTACATATGGTGTAATTATAAAGCATTTTAAAGCAGTGTTTCTGAACCTTGGCTGCACATTAGAATTACCTGGGAACTTTCAAAATTTTGATGCCCACGCCAAGTCCCAGACCAATTAAATCAGAATCTCTGGGAGATCAGACCTAGGCATCAGTACATTTCAAAACTTCCAAAGTGATTACAATGTACAACCAAGGTAGAGAACCACTGTTTTAAAAAAGAAATATTCTGAAACATAAATATTTAAATATATGCTGTTTTAAAAACAGCACCATGAGTGCTTCCTTCAACAGTACATATATTAAAACTGGGGAACAATACAGAGAAGATCAGCATGGCCCCTACGAAAAGATAATATGCAAATTTGTAAAGTGTTTCACATTTTAAAAAATAAAAATTGGGCGCCTGGGTGGCTCAGTTGCTTAAGCGACTGCCTTCGGCTCAGGTCATGATCCTGGAGTCCCGGGATCAAGTCCCGCATTGGGCTCCCTCCTCGGCAGGGAGTCTGCTTCTCCCTCTGGCCTTCCCCCCTCTCATGTGCGCGCTCTCTCACTCTAATAAATAAATAAATAAAATCTTTAAAAATAAATAAATAAAAATTAAAAAATAGCACCATGATTGGCTATAAACTTATTCTGGCAATGTTCAAAACTTTCTTCCTCTTTTTTTTTTTTTTAAGGATTTGTTTGAGAGAGAGAGAGAACAAGTGCGAGCATAATTTGTGCCAGCAGGGGGAGGGGCAGAAGAACAGGGAGAAGAAGAGGGAGAGGGAAAATCTCAAGCAGACTCCTGGCTGGGCATGGAGCCTGATGCAGGGCTCGGTCCCACAACCCTGAGATCATGACATTAGCCAAAATCAAGAGTTGGACACCTAACCGACTGAGCCACCTAGGCACCCCGTCTTAAGACTCTTTTCAAAATTGTTTTCTCTCGTACTGTCACCAAAAACATTGATCACCTGGCCTTACTAATTATATTTAGGTAAACACAAGTTTTAGAATCACAAAGACTTGGATACAAGTCCTAGTTCTACCATTTAATACACAGTTATATGATTAGCTTAACTCTGAGCTTCCATTTCCTCATCTGTAAAATGGGAGGGTTAAAGAGGAAAACAATGTACACAATGTGGCATCTGGTACATAGGAGGGAATGTATAAATGGCTATACTTACCATACCAAACTAGACTAGAAGACCTGGAGGCCAGGATCATATCTTGTTTGGTAGCTAGAGAGTAATTATTAAGCTCCTTAAGGATTTTTTTATCTGTCTCTGTAACCATAATACCTCGTGTACATTTTTTTTTAAAGATTTTATTTATTTGAGAGAGAGAGAATGAGAGAGAGAGAAAGCACATGGGGGGGGGAGGGTCAGAGGGAGAAGCAGACTCCCTGCTGAGCAGGGAGCCCTATGTGGGGACTCAATCCAGGGACTCCAGGATCATGACCTGAGCCGAAGGCAGTCGCTTAACCAACTGAGCCACCCAGGCGCCCCCTCGTGTACATTCTTATATACAACAAAAACCTAGTAACGTTCTGAACAAAGGAAACAAACTTATTTCAGATAAAAAACAAACCCTCAAGCCTTGCTTTGCAGTAAAGAAGTCAGAATAACCAGCATCCGTAGCCAACAGTCCCACAAATTGCATCGCAGGTCTCTGCCGTATAAACAGTTCTACAGCTCCATCGGTGATGCAACTGCCCCCCGAAATATCCAGTGACACAAGATGAGGCAGAATATCCTTTTGCTGCAGCAAATGAAAAGCTAAATCTGATTTGAGTTGCCTGTGATCAGAAATATCAAGGTGAAGGAGACATTTAAGTTCTCTAATAACTGCAAGAATTTGTGGTTTGGTCATAGTCAGACATTTCAGATAGTGCATTGTCAAAGATTTGAGTCGATCCTTACAGGTAAGGAGTGCAGAGATATTAGTGACCAGAGTATTGGAGATATCCAAGCTTTCCAGTTTTGGTAACTGAGAAACATTAGCCAGGTCTTCACTATGAAAACAAACATTGAAAACACTTAAAATGCGAAGACCAATGAGCTGACCAAAGAAGAGCAGTCTTGAATCTCGAGGGATGCTTGCCGAGTCCAATAGGAGACATCGAAGGTTTTGCTGGATCCAGCTATTGCTGCAGAGTCCGCTTATGATGTCTGGAATTGGGAGGTCAGTGTGCACAGCAGTAGCATCTAGCTCAATGACTTTGTGATGGCAGAAGGCTTTTGTGAATGCAGCTGCTGAGATTTTAGCTTTTTGAATATTGACCAGCTTCAGTTTCATTTGGTTGCCCTGGAAAATGCTTGCTGTTCTATCAGTCAGCTTGCCTATAAGAGAACCAAAACCAGCTGTAATAACAACTAAATCTCATGCCTTTTTCAGCAGGCATTGTGGCCAATGAACAATGACAGATGCTAATAACAGTGACTATATTTACTGCTTACTCTGTGCCAAGCATTGTTCTAAACCCTTTACTCAGATTACTTCATTTATTCTTTATAATACCATAATAATACTATAATACTATTATTACTACTATCATAAGTGAGGAAACTAGAGCTTAAAGAGGTTAAGTAACTTGCTCAAAGCCAAAATATGTAGCAGAATCAGGAATCAAAACCAGTTCAACTCCAGAGCCGTTTTATCCACAATAACCTTGTTCACAAAAAAAAAAAAAAAAAAAACGAAAGAAAATAGGTAAATAAGTACGGGATATATAATATACAAATAACACCACTAATGATTACTTTTAACCAAATTAATCAATAGCCTCTGACAATTCACTTACCTCTTTGGGCCTCATTTTCCTCATCTATAAAATAAATGGATTATATTAGATTTTACTTAGAAAAGATTTACTAAACATCTATGTGTGAGATCCTGTGTTAAGTAATCGGCACACAAGGTGATTAGACCCCTGTGGCCACAAGGAGTTCCAGTCTCGGAAGGCACATCAGGCAAATAAATGATTATAATAGTGTATTACGTGCAGTACTGATTTGTACCAGTTATTGAACTAGAACAGATGAGATTAACTTTGGGAAAAGTTCTGAAGACTAAATTTCAGTTTGGGGGAGTGGGGGGAGAAGATGAAGGGTGGAAGGACATATCAAAGACAAGGAGGCATAGACCAGCAGATTATTTGGAAAGGCCCTAAGTAGATCAACACTACTGGGACACAGTCGTGTAAAACCAAGGAAGGAAAGTGGAAAGCAAGGTAAAAGGCAGATGGGGACTGTACACAAAGCTACGGACAATTCAATTTTGAAGCAGGAAAAAAAAAATGGTCACAATTATATTTTTAGAAAGACCAGGGTGCCTGGGTGGCTCAGTCAGTTAAGCATCTGCCTTCGGCTCAGGTTGAGCCCCACGATGGACTCCCTGCTCAGCAGGGAGTCTGCTTCTCCCTCTTTCTCTGCCCCTCCCCCATTCATGCTTGCTCTCTCTCTCTCTAATAAATAAAATCTTTTAAAAAAAAGAAAGACAGACCAATTATGTGACTATAAAATAATTAAGATGTGTTTGGTGGGAGGGAGATGGGCCAAGATTTTATTAATGCTTTTTATAATGTGAAATAAAAGTTTAAACTAAGGCTGACAGAACATGGTGGCTGAACAGACTGGGGGAGAACTGAGGAAAAAATATATATATATACATAAGCTGATTCCCAGCTTCTGAGTTTGACCTGGGTTATGCTACCAAGACAGGAGGAAAGAAGTCCCTATACTTCAGACTTTGAGGAAGAATTCAGTACATTCATTCATACATTTATCCAACAAATAGTGGGTGTTTGCTGTATGTGAAGTGCTAGCTATGCTAAGTGCTAAGAATGGTGAATGAGACAAACATGGCTCCTCCCAACACGGAGTTTACACCCTAGAGGGAGAACACTGAACAAGCAGAAAACTACTAATATTAAAAATATCGTGGGCGCCTGGGTGGCTCAGATGGTTAAGCGTTTGCCTTTGGCTCAGGTCATGATTCCAGGGTCCTGGGATTGAGTCCCGCATCGGGCTCCCTGCTCTGCGGGGAGCCTGCTTTTCCCTCTGCCTCTCGCTCTCTCTCTCTGACTCTCATGGATAAATAAATAAAACATTTAAAAATATATATATATAGTGAGAAAAAAATACATAGTTAAAAATAGAACTACCTATGATCCAGCAATTGTACTACTAGGTATTTACCCAAAGAACACAAAAGTACTAATTCAAAGGGATACATGCACCCTGATGTTTACAGCAGCATTATCTACAACAGATAAATTATGGAAACGGCCCAAGTGTCCATTGACTCATGAATGGATAAAGAAGGGAGGTATGTATATACATATACATATACATGTGTACACACACACACACACACACACACACACACACACACACACACTGGAATATTACTCTGCCATAAAAAAGAATGAAATCTTACTATTTGTAACCAACATAGATGGAGCTACAGAGTATTATGCTAAGCAAAATAAGTTATAAGAAAAATGAATACCATATGATTTCACTCATATGTGGAATTTAAGAAACAAAACAAAAGGGCGCCTGGGTGGCTCAGTCGTTAAGCGTCTGCCTTTGGCTCAGGTCATGATCCCAGGGTCCTGGGATCGAGTCCCACATCAGGCTCCCTGCCCGGCAGGAAGCCTGCTCCTCCCTCTCCCGCTCCCCCTCCTTAAAAAAAGGAAAACAAAAGAGCAAAGGGGAAAAAGAAGAAGAGAGACAAACCAAGAAAAAGACTTTTGGGACATCTAGGTGGCTCAGTCGAGTGTCCAGCTGTTGATTTCAGCTCAGGTCATGATCTCAGGCATAAGATCAATCCCCAAGGCAGGCTCCGCCCTGGGTGGGGAGCATACTTGGGATTCTCTCTCTCTCTCAAAAGAAAAAAAAGGAAAGAGAAAAGAAAAAAAAAGAAACAGACCCTTAACTATAGAAAACAAAATGATGGTTACTGGGGGGAGGGGGGGACAGGTTATAAATACGTGATGGGGATTAAGGAGTGCACTTGTCCTGATGAGTGTTGGGTGATGTATGGCTGAATCATTAAACTGTACACCTGAAACTAATAGTACATGGTATGTTAAATAACTGGAATTTAAATAAAAACTTTAAAAAATGTAGTAAGTGTTTAAAGGAAACAAGAACATAATACAGGGGTAAGGAAAGAAAGAAGGATGACAAGAATTTTCTGTCTCTCTGTGGAGTTTGAGGAGGTGATGTTTTAAGCTAAGACCTAAAGGACGTAAAAGGTAAAGGTCACTGTCATTCTAGATGGAAGGAAGAGCTAAAATCCTGACAATGGGAAACAGATAGGCTTTTTCTGTGAAATGAGAGGAAACCAACGAGACTAAAGCACGGCTGATGAAGGGGATACCAGCATCTGAC